TCTCCTCCGGCGGTCTCGGTTTCGGGCGGGGAGGTGGGGCCCGGGGGGGACACTAACGCCCCCGGGTCTCACGCCGCTCGGGGCACGGTCCCCTCCTCTTCTCTGTGTCGGCGCTTGAGCCGCCCGGCTCTGTGCGTGCGGGCAGCTCGGGCGTTAACCGCAGGCGGCAAAGTTAAGCGAGCCCATGTTGTGAGAAGCCGTGACTTTAAAATACGCTGGAAGGTATATGATGCCCTCCGAATTTTGCTCGACGGCTGCCACTCATCTGTTACATCTGTCTCTGAAGCGCACATCAAAAGAGATCCGGTTTAACCGTCGGGATTCTGCCGGACTTCGGCCGCGCATGCCTCGCAGGTGTCTTTTTCCCCAGGGGAGGATCGGAGCCTCTCGGGTTTATCTTTGGGTGCATCGCGGCAGACTCGGCGGCATCGGGTTTGCATTCCTTTGTGTGGTGGCCGCCGGCTTGCTTCCTACCAGCAGTCAGGGAGGGGAAAAAAACCACACCTTCAAAACGTTCTTCAATTGCTATTCCAAGAGTGCGGGGAGGGGATATAGCTCTCTTGAAGATCCCTTTGTATGTAGAATGAACGGACTGGGCTTTGTCTTGGAGGTATGCCTTTACACAAAAAGTAACAGGGACTCCTGTAGCATACGGGGTCTGTAAGGGAGGCTTATCGCAGCAAAATATGTGTGGCTTGGCAAAGATGCAACTCGGAAATGGAAGAAAGAAACCTGTACGTGTGTGAGGAAGAAAAAGGGGAACTTTTGGGGGGATGAGAAAGGAACGCAGTTGAGGCTGACAAAATTAAATTTCTCATCTCTTAATTATGTGAGTGAAAATGAGAAAAATGCTGAGAAAAAGAAAACAGTGAGGTTTTGGAACAGCCTTCCATTGGGCAGATTCTACAACCCCATAAGCTGATTCTAAAAGATCTGTAAGACAATCTCTTAATAGATTCTTCATCTGGAAATCTTTTCCTGAGTGATATTTATTAACTCTAGTCCATCTGTACTTCTTATTCTGAAGTTAAAAATACTTATGTGGATTTCAGTTGCCTGTTTTTAGTCCAGTATTAACTGTCTTCACGCAGTGCATGCATATGCATTTAAGACTGCATATGTTAGATGTGTGTGGGCAGATGAGTGTGAGAATAAATTGATTGAGAATATGAGAAAAGGACCAAGAATTTTCCTCTGTGCTTCCTACTTGGTTGGGCTATTGCAAGTTTTAGAGCAGCATGGTCGTTAATGAGATGTAAAACACAGATATAACAGAGTAAGTGAAAACAGGAACCTGAACCTGTGCATGTTTTTCGTCTCATCCTGTAGGATGAAGAAACACGTAAAGATTATGACTACATGTTGGATCATCCGGAAGAATATTACAGGCATTATTATCACTACTACAGCAGGAGATTGGCACCTAAAGTGGATGTCAGAATAGTGATTCTAGTTACGGTGTGTGCCATCTCTGTGTTTCAGGTAAAATTTCGTGTTTACTTGACACTGCTCAGTGAGTTTCTGAATGGGAAGAGAAGTGCCTGCAGCTCTCATAACATGCCAAGTATTAAACAGTGTCAGTGAGGAGGCCCATTGCTACCTGCTGTGTTAAACTTCTGTGTGGTGTCCATAACAAGTCTGAAGTCAGGACATACTGAGTGAATTTTTGTCTGCCCTTGGTACCTTGGACAAAGGTGGAGTTTATTTTATTTTAATTGGAGGATATTCCATAGTCACAAGTGCAGCTTTTCTGAAGAATTTACCTAGTTCTGCATGGCAGGCTGAGAATAGCCTGTTCCTGAGGACAGGCAGAACTAGTGCTCCAAATCAGCATGTCAAGCTGCATAAGCAATTTTTAAAAAAAACTGACTAATTGCAAACTAAATTCAAGACTCAATACAGATGATAGGGCTGAATATTGTGAGTTTACTAATGTGTGAATCTCACATTACAGTGTTTATTTAAACACTGCAATGAAGTTGGGAGAGAAGTGAATTTGGTTCTGTGAAGTTTGTTCTGAGGGTGGTAGTTTCAAGGTCAAGGCAACAGCCTGTGTTTTAGATGAGAGAACTTGTGCTGTTGCTAACAAATATTTAAGTGGAAGAAGGTGCATAACACTTTTCTTTGGTATCTGTTAGATTTCTGGTTCCAAATATCATTAAAAATACTCTAAGAGATGAAGATACAGCTTATTCTGTCGTGCAGGTAGCTCACTTTTTAGTGGCATATTCGAAGTTAAAACAAAAATATGTTGATCAGAATTTGAGAGCTTGGAATAATAAATTCCAATGGCATATGCAGCAAAATACTTGATTTCTCTTCAATCTTACTTCCAATTACAGAGTTCCTTTTCACCTCTTTCTTATTTTGGCTGTAAGTGTAACACTCACTTTCCTGCAGTCTAGCTGCCAGATGATTGCAAATGCAGTGTAAATGTCTGTGTAAACTGATTTGCCTCCGTTGCTTTGTGTTGTTTCTGCATCTTGGCGTTTCATAAGGTTGTATAATGTGCACATAGCTGCCCTTTGTCTTGGTGAACAGTGTGAAATTCTGCTCTTTATAAAAAAAGTTGCCCCAATAAGGCATGTTCAACTCAGGCACCACATTTCTGGTTTATTGTTTGTTTTTTTTTCCCATTTAAGTTCAAAGGGTATCTGGAGATTAGAGGGGGTTGTTGAATTACCTGTTTTAAATGGGTAACAATTTTATAATGAAATGTTCGTATATTGACTATTTGTTAAACCAAAGGGACTTCTGAGAATGGCTGGCACAGCCTAGCATTAACCTTCAGGAGATTACCATCTTCTTGTGAACAAAACTGATCTGAACGATGTCTGCTTGTACTTGCTCATCACTGTATATTGCTGTGAGATACACATCTATTTTCCAGGTGCCTTACTAAGTTTGGAGGAATAATTATAGCTTCTACAATACTGCGGAAGAATTACAGTTACCTTCAGTTTTTACCCTTGCTGTAATGTAATTGTGGTTAAAGGTGTATGACAGAATTATTTATTTCCTGGTAAACCTCCAGATAGGAGTGTGTCTGTATAAAAATACGTTTTTTACTTTCACTGTTCTTCAATTACAGTTCTTCAGCTGGTGGAGTAGTTACAATGAAGCGATCAACTACCTATCTACAGTGCCAAAATACCGCATACAAGCTACTGAGATTGCCAGGCAACAAGGTTTACTCAACAAGACAAAAGAAAAAGGCAAGAACAGGAGGTCTAAAGAAGAAATTCGTGAAGAAGAGGAAGAGATCATCAAAGACATTATTAAAAATAAAATAGATATAAAAGGCGGTTATCAGAAGCCCAAGATATATGATATCCTTCTATTTCAGATCCTTCTCGCTCCTTTTTACTTGTGCAAATACATAGTTTGGTACTGCTGGTGGATTTACTGTTTCACTATTAAAGGGCAAGAGTACGGTGTGGAAGAGAAGCTGTATATCATACGAAGGTACATGAAAATGTCTCAGTCTCAGTTTGACAGCCTAGAAGATCATCAAAAAGAGACCTTTCTTGAGCGGCAGCTGTGGATACGGGAAAACTATGAGGTGCGTGGCTCTGGTGGAGGAGTTAATGGTGGTTATCCAGCACTTCCAGAGTAGGAACAGCTGTTCTGTGAAGGTGCTTCGGATGGAGCTGTGTGAAGCATTGCTTTGATTTTAGCTATTGCTTTTTAAATTGAAAACTCTTAGACAACCACTCGGTGTGTTTTCTTTGACTTTGTATGCTCATGGACTGTTAGGCAATAGCCCCTGACCATATAGGAGGGGATTTGTTTGGTCAAGGGCCATGCTCTTGTGATTTTCTATGCATACAAGATTTAGTTGAATCTGATGAAAGGCTTTTTTATAACAATGTGGTATGACAAATTTATTACAGTAGGTTGAAGACTGTTCTTCAAACAGTAGTAATATGTAATAAGGATTACCTGGATCATCTCAACCTATATGTTCATCTGATCATTTAATCAGTCTTCTAAACCATTACTTCTTCACTCTTATTTTTAATTTTTCTTAAGCTTTCTGTGAGAGCAGTGAAAGAACATTAGCCTCAGCATGGAATTGGAGTCCAGAATGGCTTGGGATGCCTGTCAGTTTGACAAAATACTTTTATTGTTCCACAGAAGCTCATCTGTTTGCCATCTGGGTGGGAGGTTTCTGGAAGAGAAAGTGAGAATAAGGGGAAGAGGAGATGATGATGCTGCTTTGCATACACTGGGAAAAAAAATGGGGTGGTGGCAGAACTGCCTTTGCTGCTAGCAAGGCACCAAAGATAAGATAATTCTTTTTTAAAAGTAGGCAGAGGTGGATTAATCTAGAAACTTGAAGAGGGAATTCGTAAAATGGATGCTAATGTAAGGAATGGATTAGCCAACAGGTATATACATGTTGAATTATGATGGGTTTGGTAGAAAACAATCTGGAAGTCCAAAGATAGAGTAATGTTGCTAGCCAAAGCAGATGTTATGTGGAAAAAGTAAAATAGGATGGATGTCCTGTTGTAGAGAAATATCCCTGCTGTTTCTAACTAGGGATGCTTTGGTCACTGAATATAAAAGAGCTGTTTTTGCCAGAAGTGAAGGTCTTTTTAGCCTGAAGTAATCTCCTGTGGTGGCCAGCAGTTATTTTTAGTGAAGAATATATATATATATAAAAATCCAGTATAATTTGCAGCTTTGGGACTTCCTGAAAAGGAAATTGTCTTTGTAGGCATTGTTTTAATGAGGTTTTTCTTTAATAAACTTATCTAGCATTCCTTGAATGCATTAAAACTTGCAGTGTCTGCTGTGCCATCTGGTCATGAATTCAGCAGTATGTCTAGAAGATGGGGTTTTTTTGAAGCCACCCAGACACCTGCTGGTTCTTGTGTTATCAGAAATGGAGAATAATAATACCTTCTATTTACTTCTGCTACCTGTGCTGCTGTGTACCCCTACCATATCCTTACTTGAGACTTAGTCATGCCTTTTCTAGGCTGAAAAATAAGCTTAGGTGTTTCTCCACAAAAGTTGCTCTGTTCTTTGATCACTGGAGATGCCTGTCTGCATATTGTTCAGTTTTCCAATGTCCTTTTAGGATGGGAAAGACCGATAATTCAATACATGGGTACATCATGGAACTCCATAGTATTTTTTCTCCTGTTGCTTTGCTGATTCTTAAAACCTGTATGATCACTGAATGTTGAGCTGGTGTATTTATAAAGCCATCTATAATATATTTAAAATCTTGTTCATGCATAGCAGATCTTTAAATTTAATTCCCTTCCAGAAAGAAGTCAAATGACACAGAAATGGCATAAAACTGTGTGGTGTTGAGATTTACACTGTCTGTGTCTACATAAACTGCCTTCCAGAATAAAAATGCAGATACTGTTGCTTTTTTTAGATACTTGACTTTGCCAGTAATTGTAGATTTAATTGCAATGACACCATTTCTTGACAGAATGTAATTACTTATAATTTTGTGCTGCCAATACTTCAATGCAGAGATATTAACTTAGTGAGAAACTTAATTAGCACTAACAAGTTCCGTAGCAGGTATTCTATCTAGAAAATTACTTTGAAGTGGGAAAAGAACTGAAGCGAGGCGCTGAACAACTGCATTGAACAGTATGTGTCCTGAGAAGGGACTCAAAATTTAGCTTTCTGAGCATTAGCAGTTCTTTACTGTAAATTTTAGTTTGCTGAAGGCGTGAACATCTAGTTCTTCAGCAAAAAAGTTCCAGAGCTTGCAGCGCTGTCTTACAAGGAGGTAGTTCTGCTCTCTGGAAAAATGTAGAACATCTCAATTACAGCCAGAAGGCTCCTCAGGTGGAGGTGCTCCTACACTTTATTTTGGTCAAGGTCTGCTCTATGTTGCAATTCAGTCTTCTATGAAAAAAATAAACTGGTGAATGGTTGAACTACAAAAGATTACACCTTCCTTGAGGTTCACTTGATCTGTTTCTTCAGCCTTTTAAAAAAACTTTTGTCTGTCTGTCAGGTCTATAAACGAGAACAAGAGGAGGAGTTAAAGAAGAAGATGGCCATGGATCCCCGATGGAAGCGATACCGGAGGTGGATGAAGAATGAAGGACCTGGAAGACTGACTTTTATTGATGATTGAAAAAAGTTGCTGAACAAAATGTGAGCTTATGTTGAAAGTGATTTGCAAAACTTTTCACTACATCATTCAGAGTTTTGTCTGCTGTGGCTCAGCAGGGATCTAAAACTCAGGAATTATTAAATCAGGCCGAAAAATAATACAGGTTTACCATTTTTATAAATCAGATGTATTAGACTCAGCTTAATGTATATATGCTGTTTACCTGGGGATTTCAGTGTGGAATTCATTATTCCAGACAATGTATTTTCTCTGCATTTTTCATGTTCATGACCAATGGAACTGTAACTTTAGTCTTTCTGAAGATGTTTCTAGATCAGTCCTTGAATGTCCTGTTTTTCCTTTTTAAACTGAAGGGTTCTTGTAAATGGATACTGGAAATGTTTGTAAAGGATTCTGAAGTAAGGGCCATTTTCTGTTTTCCTCTCTTTCCCCCTACTTTTCAGTCTAATTTCTAAGATGCCAAATGGTTTTTTGGTGTAAACAATATGGGGATTATACCAGACTTCTTCTTTTTGCTATTCCTGCTCCAGTTGGAAATTAATTTTATTCTTTGTGGGAATAAATGATGCATGATTGATCATCATTGTGATGCAAACAAGCCTTAATTCTTTGTTCTGCAGAGTGGTTCATGAAATAGTATGCTTAGATCTTTTGCATTTGGTTTTTCATCTTGTATGTTGGATTATACCTGTTCAGAACAAGTATACCCATGAATATTAGTCTACGGAATGTGACATTTATTTCACCAAAGTATTGGTAAAAGGGAAAATGACCCTTTTGTGAAAAAGGGCAATTTTGATGCCTTATGTAAATAAAAGTTTATATAATGTACTTATTGAATTTGTTTTAAATTCTAAATATGAAGTATTCTTTATCTCTTCTGAGCAGACTTCAGAGTACTTAAAATAAATAATGCACAACAGCATGCTGTGGTTTCCTCTGTAACTCAGCCCAGATCAGAGTTTCCATGATTTTCTGGTAAAAGGCATTCTGTTACCATATTTCTATACAGGAATTTTACTGGAGCTGGGGTAGGTTTGGAGCGTGGCCAGATTGGGCTGCTTCTGTCGTATGTTGCATCTGTAAAAGCAAGTTCCTCGGAAGTGTTTCTGCTCAAAATGGTGCTCAGTTAAGCTGGCTTCTGTGGACTTTGGCAGGAGGAACAGGTTCAAGAGCTTGTCTCCCAGAAACAAAGTCCACAGTAGCTAAAATTTTTTAAATGCTTGTTGATTAATTTTTTGAAGCAGGATGTTTCCGAGTCTGCAAAGGTGACCTGTCCTCATTCTTTGAGGAAGAGTTTCTGTTCCTTATGCTTAGCTTTCACTACTTGGAAAGTCATCTAAGTTTTCTGTTTAACATACTATGTTTTCAAAAGTATTTAAGTATTACAATATATAGCTAACTTCTGTGTGCATCAGTAAAATTGATGAGGAACTGCTACATCTGTCTATCTGTGCTGCATGTAGTGTAGCTATAAACTTAATTTCATATTTTGTGGTCAATTTAAATCTGAAACTTGTTAAAGGGGGTATCTAGAATAAGTTGTGCTTGCTTTCATGAAGTAATGTTAAGGGACATGGTAGTGGTGTGGCAGGGACACTGCAAAGATGTTCATGAGCTGAGAGACCTACACCGTCAACCTTCTGCAGGAGTGGAAGGGGGAAGATTAAGTTGCTGTGATAGAAACAAAGGGAATAAAGGTAAGCACAAGTAAAATGGTGTTGAATGTTAGGTTAAACATTTGTATCTGGAAAGTGCATGGAAGAGGATCTAAGCCTGTGACCACAGTTTCACAGACTAACAGCTCTGCTGCCCTTGCCTTGTGACTCATTTTGCTCCATTCTTTCCCCTCCAAGCCAAGTATTTGGATTAGACAAATAAGCAGTCAAAACACTGATCTTTTCCCTTTTTGACTAGGTTGGTTCTAATTAAGATTAATTTCTGGGCTTGACACTACAGCAGGAAATCAGTGCTATGGAGGGGCAGTCCCTGGGGAGCACAGACCTGTGTCTTTCAGCAGCAATGGTGTCTTGTTTCTGTGAAACTGGCCTGATACTGAGCAAGTGGAGAAGGGGAAGTCAGCAGGTATTGCATGACCTGCTGGAAATTAGCTGTTCTGCAGGCTTGACTCGGAGTTCCCTCTTTTCTCAACATATGAGCCCTTTTAAGATAACCAGATGCAGGCATTAAATTCATGGACTGCAGCAAAAATTTGCTGGGCAGTGACACTGCAGTCGCATATCCGTGTGCGATGGGTTAGCCCTTAGATGGGGGCCAAACCACACACCCGTTCACACAATTCCCCCCTGCCCCACCCAAGGATAGGGGAGAGTATTAAAGGGGTAAAGAGAAAAAAGGACTTGTGGGTTGAGATAAGGATAATTTAATAACTAAACTACAATAATATTGAAAATAACACTATATACAAATATACAAATGAGTGATACACAGTGATACTGTGTTTCCCCCCTCCAATGAACAAGGCTCAGCCTGCTCCCTGCTAACGATCCTGGAGCAGGGAGAGTCCCGAAACCACACTCATGGAACAGAGATAACAGTCCGAGTGTCCCAGACTGAGACCTGACTTGGGTGGGGGGAAAAGGCCGTGGGAGACCGACCACCTGGAGCGAGATGACCCGGAGCAAAAGAGATCCGGAACCAAAAGGGACGATCTTCCAGAGGGTCCTCATGTATACACTGGGCATGACATGTATGTTAAGGAATAGATTATTGGCCACTTTGGGTCTCAGTCCTGAACCTAAGATCAAATCCTGGGTGAGTAACTGGGGCTGTGCTCCCTCCCAGCTTCTCCAGTCTGCCGTCCTTGGCAGTGGGTAAACATCACTTCTTATCAGCTTTCTTCTGAGCACAAATCCAAAACACAGCCTCTTGCTAGCTATTATGAAGATAGCTAATTCTGTCTCACCTTCACCAGGACACTGTGATGAAGGATATTAAAAAATAGAATGTCTTTACAAAGCTGTCAGAGTTGCAGTGACACTTCTTCAGCTGAGGCTACTGAGCATTTCTAGCCTAATATCTCACTGTAGTTGCAAATGATGTCTGTCTTTTGGGCATAAATTTTCAGGCCCTGTTTTATCTTGAAGTTGAGAAAGCATTTATATATACATATAAAAGAAAAAAAAACAGGAATGAAACTACTGAGAGTTAAAATACCGTACGTAGTAGAGCCAGTGAAAATTCAGATAACTTCAGAGAGAAGTGTTTGCATGGACAAGTATTGCTGGTGCTAGGTAGTGGAGTGTGTGAAGAAGTGTGGCAAGGTAATAGGATCTTGGAGAAGAACTGCCTTACCCCCATCAACTTTTCAAAGAACTGTATCTGTTTTGTCGTATGTATCAAACATATAGTGTATATAAGGTGGAACGTACATTTTGCTCAATATGCAAAAGGTACTTGGAGCCAGGGCCTTTCACATTCAGCGCCAGTCTTTTCCATGACTGTGTTGAGGCATTGGTTGAGGCTCAAGCATGCCCATGGCTGGTTGTCCCTGTATTTGGAGCAGTCATTTGAGGCTATAAGGTTCATGCCGTCAGCTTTTTAACAGGCTAGCAAACTGACAAACCCCTGAAAAAAACTGCAGTGACTTATTTATGGTCACTAAGTGAGATGGTGATGAACAGCATGGGGGGGATGCAACAACACTGGCAGGAGCTGCTAGGCAGTTTTAGTCCAACAGCTGCCTATGGGCAGAGGGGGCTTTTCATTAAATCTCTGCAGGACATTTAGAACTCCCTTTCCTCTCTTTCCTTCCTACCCCTTTTTTTTTCTTGTCTTCCTGTCTTTCCTTTTTTTCTTTTTTTTCCTTTTTTTCCCTTTTCCTTTTTCTTTTTCTTTCCTTCTTTCTTTGCTCTTCTTTGATTTTTCTTTTTTATCTTTTTCATCTTTTATCTCTTTTTTTTCTCTCCTCTCCCTTTTATCCCCTTCCCTTCTCCCTTTCCTTTTTTTTTTTTTCTTCCTTGTCCCGATCTTGATGATCAGTCAGGAAATTAGTGGGATAAAGTTCAAGCTAATACTCCTACAGAGATTTGTGTTTTCCTCTCTCCCATCCAATAAAACAACACATATACTATGTTATGTCAGTGTTAAGTGTGGCCCAATAAACTTCTGACTGTATAGTACCAACTGAAATTGGGTTTGCAAATTAAATCAGCCACCAACAGAACACTTAATTGTATGGGTAGAACATTGCAGTTCAAATATGTATTGAACTGATTATTAAGTGGGACAGTTTCCTAAGCATAAATAAAATAATTAATTTTTTGTGTCCTTATAAATTTTGCAGTGTGTCAGATGTTAAGCATGTTTTGATTTGTTCCAGTAGCCGGATCGAGCTGGGAGATGTGACGCCACACAACATTAAGCAGCTGAAGAGGCTAAACCAGGTCATTTTTCCTGTCAGCTACAATGACAAGTTCTACAAGGATGTACTGGAGGTTGGCGAACTAGCCAAATTAGGTACAAATATTCTTGCCAGTAATTGTGGGCTATGGTGTCAGAAGTGCTCATCGTTGCAGTCAATCATATACTGTCCGAACAGCTATTCTCAATTAGTCATTCTTTCGATCCCTTTTAACTTTAAACCCCCCTATCTCACTACTTTAACCAACAAGGTTTTCTGCCCCCGAAGCAGCCTCATCCCGCAGCCAGGGCCGCTGCACGGTG